TCTGGTTACCACAGACATTAATGACTGAGATCAAATGAATCATTGAAATGGTGCAAAATCACTGAAAAATCATCTCTGACAGGATGAAATGCTCGCAGTCACTTAACCCTTAAAAATGTGCAAAAAACTCATCTTTCTCTGTTAAATGTTAAATCTTACTGCCTATTGAAACATTATTATGTAGCCTTTTCGTCCTACGTTGAACAGTTTCTTGAGGCATGCAAAAACAGAAAAACCTGCTCATGCGGTGCCTTCATAGAGTTTGGGAAATCTTTGAGAAATGAAGTGCATTCAGAGACCTGCTAGTGTATAGATTAGAGCTAATGGAAATCTAATGTAAGAGGATTCATGCCGAATTTTAAATGTCTTTATTGATTGATGTGGAGGCGTCAGCGGCTTTCTGTGCTGATGGCGTCTTTTGTCTGAGGTGTTTGTCTGCGCTCAGGCTTTCTGTTAACAAACATGTCACCTCTGCATACTAATTCTCCGTAGAAACCTTCTCTTCATCGTCAGTGTATCCGAGCCTGCTCCTGGATTCCACGCTTTATTTATTTATTTATTGCTTCCTTCCGTGAAAACTCGACATAAATCGTTTCCCATTTTTCCTGCCCCTTTTCCTCCGTTCAGAAATCCCTTCCTGTTGTGACAGGCCGCATCTAAAAGTATATTTTTACTCAATAATTTATTCACTGCCGATTGATGTATGTAGCAGGTTTAACCATCAGTCTCTCTAATATCACTCGGGGGAATTTCCACCTTCCAAAAAGATGAAATCTGCAATAAATACTGCTCGCCTGATTTTTGACCTCAGAAAATCAATTGTTAGTTTTATTATGAAGCATGTTGGTCATTTTTAAAGTGTGGTCACAGTTGAAGGTATGATTTGATTGGATTTAAGGTAGAACAGCTGGACACTGGTACTGGTCTGTTGTGGTGAGCATAAAGCCACAGCTATTGGTTTAAATGGCTGACCTGCATTCCTACTTTGACATATGACAAATAGCTTCTCCAGAAGTCTAGAGATGGCTTGAGGGAGCCGATATTCAGAGGAAATGGTTTAAGCAACCAGTAGGAGGGCCTGAAGCAGACGTAGCATACTCTGGAGAGTTTGTGTCCGCTGGCTGGTTTGGGAGCATCTCTCTATCTCAGTGAAGAGTAGATATCATGGCCAAGAAATTAAATTTTCTTTCTGTTTTTATTTCATTGTTTATTTAATTTTTTCATACAGCGTATTATTGGAACTGGTCTCTTTTAAAATCTTCAGTGGCAGTTCCCAGGTGACGTCAGTGATCCTGTGTTGTTTTCCCTGCAGATGGATCTCAGAGGAATGGGAGCACTGTACCAAAACCTGCGGCAGCCTAGGCTTTCAGATCCGAAGCGTTCGCTGCGTGCAGTTCCTGCATGATGGCACGAACCGCTCCATCCACAGCAAATACTGCAGCGGCGAGAAGCCCGAGAGTCGGAGGCCCTGCAACAGAGTGCCGTGTCCTGCCCAGTGGAGGACCGGAGCCTGGTCAGAGGTATCCACTGAATGTATCTGTTCGTCGGGGCGGGGCCATATTTGTCATATTTTCATGTTTCAGATCTTTAAAAAATATATTATTAAATAAAGGTAATGCAAAAATATACAATATGCAGTCTTTAAATATTCATTTTATTAATTAAAATAAAAACAACCTAACCTACCTGAACCTGTGTGAAAAGTAATCGCCTCCATTTTTGGAAAGTGGAGTTCAAGTTCACGCACAAGTGCAGCAAACTAAACAGCGCATCATTCCTCGATATAAAGAAACAGCTGAGAAACCAACTCACTGACATCTGTCACTGTGGAAAAGGTTTCAAAGACCACTGCTGACCAAAAAGAATACAAAAGCTCGAATCACATCTGCCAAAAAACATCTGGATCATCGCCGAGACTTTTGGGAACTGACAAGACAAAAGCAGAAGTGTCTGGAAGGTTGGAGTCCTGTTACATCTGGCTTCAAGCTAACAGTATTTTATCAGAAACAAACAAACATCAGACGTGGTGGTGCGATGGTATGACCTTAAACCGTTCATGTTTGCAAACCCTCCAGGAAAGACGTGTGGCCTAAATTCCCTCCACAGTGATATGAAACACTCCCATTTATTTGTTTGATTGCAAAGTGTGATTATGCAAGTGTAGCACAAGCGTTTATTGGGTTTAGACGACTGCTACTTTGTCACTTTGGGTAACAAAGGTAACTTTGGATGATCTGAAACATGTTAAATATGCAAAAAATGGAGAAATTACTAAGGTGGCAAATCTTTTTCACGTTACCTTTCACGTGACTGCTTGAAAAAGTTTTTTCTTTTGAGTCGCAGATCAAAGAATCGCATCTGAAAGAGTCATTTATATTTGCTGTTTGTCTTTGATGTGAGGGTGAAGAACTTGGTCCCAGACTTTTGTGACTGACGTTGTTTTCTGTTACCGAATGGCGCCTAAGCTGACATAGCAGGGGTTTCTGTACAAAGAATCAGGCATCTGTAATATTTAATTTAGAGCCGCGTTGCATCTCATCTGGAGACATGCCAGTTTTACAGCCTGCACTTCCTCCAAATGAGACCTTTAAAAACCCACATCAAAGAATTCAATAAATCAGGCGTCCGGCTGAGTGTCGCGAGGCAAAAAAGAGCTAATGAGGTGTGTGTCTTTGTGTTAGTTGTTCATTTGTGTGGGTGGGGTTTTTGTAACATGATTGGGCTACAGCTTCTGATTATCTATATATATATATATATGTAGTATATGTACAGTTAATCTGTGAGTGAGAGTAGTGGTGCAGTTTCTTTAATTATTTGTTGGTAAATTAAAGATGTTTTTAAATCATAAAAACATGCTTTTTTACTTCTAGGCTGATGGAACATGTTCGGACAAAATCTCATGAAATTAGCCAAATTAGACAAAAGTCGCAGTTTTCTGTGTTTTCATGCACGAGTTTCAATTATTTTGCTGACGTTCACGTTCACAGGAGATCTCAGACTAAAACATGAGACAAAGATCCACCAAATAATTAATGGTGTGTTTGCTGCTTCACCGGCTCTCACATTATTAATTGCAGTTTAATTTGAGGTTTTGATGTCGTCTTTCTAACCGATCACAACAAAGGGAAACGTTTATTTCTGGTCTCAGTGGCCAAACTTAAAGGTTGGGTAAAAAGCCATGTGTCACACACGGGGCCACAGGTGATGCGATTGATTGCTTCAATATTGCAGGTTTATCAATAAATTATTCAAAATGTTGTAACAGAAGAAAGAGGATCTCTCCACCTGGGCCTGTTCAGATTTCAGATGCTGTTTGGCTTCATTTGAGGGCTTTAAATTTGTTAATTCATCATCATCATCATCATCATCATCATCACCAGACTCCCTGGGTACAAAATACAGATGTCACTGAAGCGAAAGGCAAAGTGAGACTGAGACAAAAGTTGTGTGATGTATTCCCAGGATAGTTTTCTGACATATAAAAATCTGAGGAAAGTAAGAAGTGTTGTTTCTTTTTGAATTATCACTTTTCTTCTTTTCAAACTTGCTCAGTGTTCGGTGACGTGTGGAGAGGGGATAGAAAGGCGTTTGATCACCTGCCGGATTGGAGATCAGTGTAACGGAGAAAAGCCCGAACACGTGAGGCCGTGCAAACCTGGAGCCTGCAACGGTAAGAATGTCTGATGGTGCAAACATGCAGCGTCTTCTTTTAATTGACTCCATTAACATTTCAGCACATTGTGCTTCCCTCCACATGATCAATAATTCCAACATGCCCGTCTTTCAGTCCAGCAGGTCCTCTAGACAAAATACATAATGCACGTCATTTGCTCTTCATTTTAGCAGATTACATGTCCTTCATAAAAAATTAAAAAATCTTGCATTTTCCTCTGATCTCGCAGCCAGCCGACGGTTTCCATTTATTTTTAAATGAAAAGGAAAATCGATCAGCAGCCCCTCGAAATGGGCTCGGTCCAATTCAAAATAGTGAACATCTAGCCTGCAATAATTCATTAGAAAGCACCAACATTGTTCATGGTGAGTGCAGTTCACGGCCGGGTAGACGGAAGCATCTCTGCTGACATCTCAACAACAGTAAAACTTCATTTAAACATTTCCCGTGATCGATTCAGACTTCGAGTTTTGTGCAGCTTCGAAAATTAAATCATTCGCTGCGTGAAGGAAGAAAAATGTATTCAGATGTTAACAGTGCGTCCTTTTACATGCTTTTATCGACTGAAACATGCCGTCCTGTCACATTTAAAGTCATTTCCTTTAGTGATTTAAAGCCCAGACAATGACATTTGTGAAGCAATAACACATTATTACTCTCACTTTGCTGCTAACGTCATTCTTCCAGTTGGAGCTGCTGCGATGACATTCAAAGTGTCCAGCGTCTGTATGAAATTGCTTCACCCCACAAAAACTCTGCTCAGTGGTAGCACAGGAAGGCGTCAGCGTCAGCACGAATGTTTGTTAGACTTTGGTTTGAAATGCATGAAGGCAGGTGAAGCCGAAGGAATCATTTAATTATGCTTTGATCGAAATCTCATTTATAGATCTATGGTAATAACACATAAATATATGTTTGTGTCTTCATTAAGTAAACTGCATAATCGCTCACTTTCTATTCTGAGTGGAAACTTTGTAGAGCGTACGATGTCATGTGCATAAATGGCCGACATTGTTTTCAAGCAGTCATGCTTCTAAGTGCATTATGTGTTAATTAGCTTGTGCTTAATATACAAATAGAAACATACAAAGGTTAATGACAAAGTCTGCTGCTGTTGGTTGTTTTGAAACCTTTCTGTCACACAACCTTAGAAGAAACTTTTTAGAGATGCTCCAAATATTCTTTGTTCATTAATCTGCAATGAGACAAGATGTGAAGGAAGTTCGCCAACAGTCCTGCAAAGATCTGTAAAGAATCTGAGGTTAACCTGCAGAAAGCTCTACAATGAAATAAAAACCATTTCATGTTTAGTGTAGAAAACAAACCTGTATTTTGGCAGGTCTCAGTTTTTCAAAAGAACTGAATGTTCCACACAAGATTTCTAGGATAGCGTTTAGCAAACAGATGGGACAAGAGTGTAACTCTTAAGTAGGGATGGGTATCTTTTAGGTTTTATCCGATACCGGTGCCAAACCGGTACTTAAAGAATGGAGAACACAAACTTTGTCCAAAAACCTCTCATGTT